GATTATGCAAAACCTGATATCTATGTTTTCGGCATAACCCAAGGAATCTATTAAGATCAGTTTCATTGCAATAGGCAAATTTATTCAAAAGTTATTAGCGTTCTCAGAAATTAATTATAACTTTTGACCAACAGGTGGCGCTGTCTCAAAATCTTTTGAGTACCTTCAGGGCATGCTGCTTATGGCACACACTGAGTTTTGTAATATTACACCAATGCATTTGTTTAGTATAGCATTTTATTTCACAAAACTCTATTGAAGTCAATGGGAATTTCACGTTTTGTTCTATTATAGCGCCACCAAGAGGCTCAGTCCCACAATTTTTTTTATGTGTCCTCAGAGTGACCCCATACATATGTGTGTCAATTTTGGTGCAAATATCTCAATTTACTTCCGAGTTATAAACATTTATATGAAAAAACACGTAAAAAATGACTGACACATGACTTTGTTTGAATTTTACTACCCCTTACTATCAATATTTTCGCATTTGGGCATTAGCGTATAGTTAACAAGCTATGATTCCGTGTTTCTGGCGGTGGTTTCGTCTCGATCGGAACAGCGGTTTTGAAGATATCGCCAAGTGTTTTTTTCGCGCTAAATCGCTACGCTACGCCATCCGTGAGACGAAACCCGACATATTTGGTATCGTTGGACTCGGCAACGATTCAGGACCTCAAAAATATGACTCCCGTGAAAATAAGTGTACCACACCCAAAGTTATAAGCGTTTGAATAAAACAATTCACCACTAGGTGGCGCTGTTTCGAAACTTCTCAGGCTCCTTCAGGGCATCGTACTGATGACCCATAACGAGTTTCGTAACAATTCGTTCATGCGTTCAAAAAATACAGCATTTTAGCACATAATTCAAAATGGCCGACAGCCAAAATGGCCGATCTGGGAAAATTGGATATCGGTCGACTCGGCATGACGCCCTGAATCTAACGAGACCAAGTTTTTGATTTTTGGACAAACCGTTCAGAAGTTACGAGCAAAAATAGCCATTTTTCATATCTCCGGACCACTAGGTGGCGCTGCGCCGAAACGCAGCACGTAGCCTCAGGTCATGCTTGTGATAACACGTACCAAGTTTGGTGTGAAAACGAGTAAGCGTTGCGGAGATACAACCTCACGTCTGTTTTCGCAAGCGCTACGTAAATTTTGTTTACGCGTTTATCGAAAACGGTTATTCGAATCATCTTGAATTCCATAACTTTTTGTCAGCACTGCCTGGAGATGATCCGGTGCGATTTTGGTGAAAATCGGACAAACCGTCTAGGACGAGTTCGCAAAAGTAGGTTTTTTGGAAAATTCAAAATGGCGGCCGTTTTTTTATGACGGAAAATGACGTCATAGGGTGCGATCGAATCGGCATGAGCTCAGGAACAAGAGGAAAAAAGAATTTTGTTGATAGGCCTTACGGTTCAAAAGTTATTAGCATAATAAAAGTGAAACTTTGGACAGTTGGTGGCGCTAGAGGGAATGAGTTAGAGACACCAAAATTGGTGTATTTAAAGTTGGGACTGTCCTCTATCAGAATGTCAAACCAAAACAACTTTCCCGCAAACCGGTCTATGGGCTGCCATAGACGCCCAGTCGGAAGAAGAATAATAATAATAAAATATAGCTGCAAGCAGCCATTACGGGGCCAAGCGCAAGAAGCGGCAACATATGCCAAAATGGCAAGGAGTGGCAGACCAACTGCAGCAAGGAGCAATTAAGGGCATTTTGAGAGAACTTTGGGCAAATGGCTAAGAAAATCACATAAACATTAACTTATAAGATGATTTAATGGGTTATCACTTTCGAACAATAGGTGGCGCAGTTACGAAATAGATGTGATGTGGTCAGAGTGAGGTGACAATGACACATGCAAAGTTTGGTGTCAAAATGTGAAGGCATTGCAGAGATAAAGCCTAAATAGTAATTTTGGCAGCATGCCTAAATTTGATGCTGTGGTATACGAAAACGGTTTTGTCTATCATCGTGCAATTCATAACTTTTAGTCGGCACGGTCTGGAGATGATACGATTCAATTTTCGTGAAAATCGGACAAACGGTCTAGGAGGAGTTCGAAAAAGAAGGTTTTTCAAAGAAATAAAGATGGCGGACAGGAAGTTTGGCTGATTATGCAAAACCTGATATCTATGTTTTCGGCATAACCCAAGGAATCTATTAAGATCAGTTTCATTGCAATAGGCAAATTTATTCAAAAGTTATTAGCGTTCTCAGAAATTAATTATAACTTTTGACCAACAGGTGGCGCTGTCTCAAAATCTTTTGAGTACCTTCAGGGCATGCTGCTTATGGCACACACTGAGTTTTGTAATATTACACCAATGCATTTGTTAGTATAGCATTTTATTTCACAAAACTCTATTGAAGTCAATGGCAATTTCACGTTTTGTTCTATTATAGCGCCACCAAGAGGCTCAGTCCCACAATTTTTTTGTGTGTCCTCAGAGTGAACCCATACATATGTATGTCAATTTTGGTGAAAATATCTCAATTCGCTTCCGAGTTATAAACATTTATATGAAAAAACACGTAAAAAATGACTGACACATGACTTTGTTTGAATTTTACTACCCCTTACTATCAATATTTTCGCATTTGGGCATTAGCGTTTAGTTAACAAGCTATGATTCCGTGTTTCTGGCGGTGGTTTCGTCTCGATCGGAACAGCGGTTTTGAAGATATCGCCAAGTGTTTTTTTCGCGCTAAATCGCTACGCTACACCATCCGTGAGACGAAACCCGACATATTTAGTATCGTTGGACTCGGCAACGATTCAGGACCTCAAAAATATGACTCCCGTGAAAATAAGTGTACCACACCCAAAGTTATAAGCGTTTGAATAAAACAATTCACCACTAGGTGGCGCTGTTTCGAAACTTCTCAGGCTCCTTCAGGGCATCGTACTGATGACCCATACCGAGTTTCGTAACAATTCGTTCATGCGTTCAAAAAAATACAGCATTTTAGCACATAATTCAAAATGGCCGACAGCCAAAATGGCCGATCTGGGAAAATTGGATATCGGTCGACTCGGCATGATGCCCTGAATCTAACGAGATGAAGTTTATGATTTTTGGACAAACCGTTCAGAAGTTACGAGCAAAAATAGCCATTTTTCATATCTCCGGACCACTAGGTGGCGCTGCGCCGAAACGCAGCACGTAGCCTCAGGTCATGCTTGTGATAACACGTACCAAGTTTGGTCTGAAAACGAGTAAGCGTTGCGGAGATACAACCTACGTCTGTTTTCGCAAGCGCTACGTAAATTTTGTTTACGCGTTTATCGAAAACGGTTATTCGAATCATCTTGAATTCCATAACTTTTTGTCAGCACTGCCTGGAGATGATCCGGTGCGATTTTGGTGAAAATCGGACAAACCGTCTAGGACGAGTTCGCAAAAGTAGGTTTTTGGAAAATTCAAAATGGCGGCCGTTTTTTTATGACGGAAAATGACGTCATAGGGTGCGATCGAATCGGCATGAGCTCAGGAACAAGAAAAAAGAATTTTGTTGATAGGCCTTACGGTTCAAAAGTTATTAGCATAATAAAAGTGAAACTTTGGACAGTTGGTGGCGCTAGAGGAATGAGTTAGAGACACCAAAATTGGTGTATTTAAAGTTGGGACTGTCCTCTATCAGAATGTCAAACCAAAACAACTTCCCGCAAACCGGTCTATGGGCTGCCATAGACGCCAGTCGAAGAAGAATAATAATAAATTATAGCTGCAAGCAGCCATACCGGGGCCA